GCATCTTCTTTCAGCAGCTCTGTGTCGCTGTGAATGAAAGGCACAGAGAAACAGGAGCGCAACACAAATGTAGTGTCTCTCAGTGTGTGAGACAACCAGAGTAATAAATCGATTGGACATCAAGACATGACAGCTCAAAAACATCAGCAGAATGAATGACATCGTGTCTAAACTGTACAAAAATATCCTGCACTGGGACTGTAGATATGTCCGAAATGCAACAGGCAGAGAAGAAGCGGGGTAAAAAAGTTCCTGGCTTTGTTCCTCTGGGCTGATGATATGAGATATGATCATATTTTTTGTTGGAATATCTTTTCAAATATCATGTTTTGGTGCCAAAACATAACAAAAATAAAAAACAAACAATAGAAATCTGTTTTCATTTATTCTTCAAGATAACTTCTGCCCTTTGAAGGAGTAATTTGACATTTTGGGAAATAAACTTATTTGCTTTCTTGCTGAGAGTCAAATGAGAAGACTGATGCCTCACTCATGTCTTTCTGTTAAATATGAAGCTACAGCTAGCAGCCTATGCTAAGCTAAGCTAAGATGGGAACACGGAAAACAGCTGACAAAAATGTATGTAATTTTAAGTAAATGTTTATTAGTGAACTTTCCATTGCTGTGCAGGCAGTAGACATATTTTTTTAGCTACATAGCAGTGTGGCTCTTTGGATGACATGCAGGGTGAACTTTTAAAATGTTGGCGATCCCTTAACTTTTAACACCATCATCAGATCAACATCTACATTTGTGCATATTTTGGTTTGATATTCCCATCAGTCTCATTTGTACTTAATGTTTAGTGCTAATAATACGCTAAGACTTTACCTGCTGCACATCAGCATTTTAGCATTGTCATTGTGATCATGTTAGCATGCTGGCATTAGCATTTAATTTAAAGCTCTGCTGTGCATAAGTACAACCTTACAGAGCTGCTAGCATAGCTGTAGACTTGCAGTCTAGCCAAGCAAGCTGTTTCCTCCAATTTCCAGTCTTCTGTGCTAAGCAAATGTAACCGACTACTGGCTGTAGCTCCATCTTCAACAGATATGAGAGTGGTATTGATCTTCTCATCAAATCTCCCAATGACCTAATTTGTAATATTTACCTGCTCTGACACTATGCTTTACTGTATATAAAATGTGTTAATCTGTGCAAAAATAACAAAATAAAGATATAAGCACAAATCCCAACATCCACTTCTCGTTGAGAGAAAAACTCCCAGATATGTTTAGACACCTTCCTGTGTTCCATCCTGCAAAAAAACAAACATGTAATTCAGTCTAATAACAGACATCGTTCAAAAACATCATAAATATACCTGTTTGGTTTGACTTGAATATAAACAGTCCTACAGTATGAGACAACTGGGCAGTGAACAGGCCTCTATTTATGCAGACTGAGGAGCTAATAATAGAGACAGAGGTACACGAAATGTAGTTGTTTGTTTTTATCTGAGGCAGAATGTAAGCTGGGACCTCTCTGTGCTCGCTTGGTTCCCTGTGGGGATATTTTACCAGCTCTGTTTTCTTAAGTCAGCTGCCCTTTTCCTGCAGGGACGGTAGGGATCATCAACACTGACATGCTTCTATTTTTTTATACAGGAGGCCACTTTTGGAGTGGTGTGGGAGAGGAAAAAATAGAGCGAGGAGAAAAGAGGCCTCTGTAATGGCTTGTTTGCAACTAAGAGGTCCTTTGTGTATTGTTCGTCTTCCATTTTGGAGGTTAAATGAGCAGTTTAAGCTGAGGCTCAGACAGTGTGTTAAAGTGGAGAGGTGCTGCCCGCCCGGTGTTGCCCGCCCGTGCCTCTGCTTACAACTGCTGAGCAAGATGCTGCGTGGCATCAAGATCAGCAGGAGTGCTAATGTGCAATCTGAGTTTATGTGTATTTTGTGTGCCTGACACAGAAGGAGGCTGGGATGAGAATACAGCCATTGTTTCTGCAGGAGGACGACAGCCGGGTCTACAGGCCAGGCCGGTAGCTTTATTAGAGCCACATGTGTGTGTGGGGTGGGGGGTAAAAAAAAAACAGAAAAATAATGCTGTTCTCGCATTATAACCCACATAGGCATGTGCACACATGTACAGTAATAATACTTCAACGGCTGTAAGAGGAGGTTTGTAAAATATCCACCACAATGTATACTGAAGAAAATATCGCTCTATTTATAATCTAAGATTTCAGTTCACCCACCAGCTTCATTTTAAAGACATGGGGTCACCACTAGACACAACTTTCTACTGAAGTGGACCTAACATTGCAGTATGAGCTATCAAGTAAATAGATACAGTTTACCTAACTATCAGATTGGAAGTAAAAAATTATGGAAAACTGTCCATCTCCTGCATTCCAAAGCTGTATATTTGCAAAATTACTTTAAAGGTGATACTCCAATTACACTTCCAAAAGGTCGGGGGACTTACAACAGACAGATTTTAAAATATATATCCTGATATCCTGACATTTGGTCTCTGGTCAAGCCTACATTTCCCATGAGACCCAATACTATCTTTAGTTAGACCGTCCCTGCCTGGTAAACACCCAGTTTGTTGTAACCAGGCTGACCCAATAATGTAATAATTTACTGAAAATGTTATAAAATTGGCAATTAACTTGATCAATAATGTAATAAAATCCAATAATGTAATGACTTGACAAATAATGTGATGACTAATGTTGTAATAACATTTATACATATGCTGATTGGTCATCATCCATTATACCAGAGTTAAATTAGACACTATCAGAAGATGACAAAAGCCGCAGGTAAACGTTACACAAGCAAAACAGTTGATTAAATTCCCATGAAATGTTGTGTGCTGGAGTTTCTTTGCAACTTTTGACCTAAGCGTCCCACCTGTCTCACGTTATAGATGTACGAGGTAATTTTCATCAAGTTAGATGCACATTTTATTACATTTTCAGGAAATGATTACATTACTGGGTGCAGTGTTGTATGCGCATTGTGTACAGTATTCCGATGCTGCAATATTACATGGCCCCAGGTTTGCCATGCGGTAATTTGATTAAACACAAATTGATTAAAGAAGATGCACTATGTAAGCATAGCATCAGCTGAAAATAAGAAAGTCTTAATAAGAAGATTTTGATACTGGGTCCCTCTTCAAGACTTGTAATGTATTACACCAAACATGTATTTATTCAGTGAATTTAATATTGTATTTCTAGTTCTTCATGTTGTAATGTGGCCATTCTGGGAGATGAAAAGGATTTTCCCTTTTTTCACAGTAAAGGTTTGGTTGCTTTTTTGTGGAGTTTTTCCTCATGTCTGTATGTAAAGCCCTCGGAGACAAATTTGTGATATCGGGCTGTATAAATAAACAGGACGTGACTCGACAGGGCTTCAAGATCAGGTAATAAACCAAGACCTACCTAAGGCCCTAATCATCCATCCATCCATGCATTAGCTGTAGCTGCTAGCTGAGAGCAGTACAGTATGCACAAATGCATGGGAAAATTGTGATTTCTGGTTCAGTTAATTGCTACAAAGAGCATGCAGCTGTTCCAAAAAATCTCTGTCTGGAGTCGTTTCAAATTCTCTGTGTAATGCTTACACAACAACCTTCAATCCAATCACAGCATGATGAGTGCACTTATTAACCTTGATATTGCTTTGCATTGCTAACATGAATCACATTACAGTTTGTGAGCAGTAGCTTGTGGATGTGTAGACTGAGAGCAGCAGCTAGTTCTCATGTTGTGGTTGAGGAGTGGAGGATTCTTATTTGCTTAACAGTAATGATGTGCACCGAACACTGAGTGTGGATCTCTTCTTGGCACCAAACAACGGGAAATTGAAAATAACACATAAATCTCTGATGATCTCAGAGACAGAAGGACAAAGCCATGGGCTGAAATGGACTGTATACTCTGCAGAAATGAAAATGCTGTGATGCACTAATAATGTATCAGAGGCAAGTTGTAAAGAAAAATGACAAAGCAAAACACTTAACAACAGTTCAACTTTAAAAATGTCTTAAAATGTTCATCAGCCCAGGGGAAGTTGAAGTCTTTCTCTCTTTAATCAACAAAGCAAATTAAATAATATTTTGTTATTGCTGCTCGCAGCAATGTTTCATACGACAATATAAACAAAAATATTCATAAAGACAAAAAGTTAGTCTGAATTTACTGAAAGATGTGTTTGTTTGTCGGAGTAGGGGCTGTGTGGGTGTGGCCTTGGTTGTGTCCACCGAAGCCCTGGGCAGGGCACTGTGGGGCGGGGCAGGGCGGGGCTATGTTTCACAGGCTCTCTTTTATTTCAGCTCAAACTTTCAGCGCAGACTTTCACTCACAGCTGCTGCACCCACACACGTAAGTCCGTCCTGTAGCTCAAAGGTGTTAAGGATGCTTGGTGTTACAGGCAATGGTTTATTAAGCGTTTCCACGCTTCACTGCTGCAGCAGAAGTCTCTGTTTTCACAGGATGTAACACGGGAGGTCCCTTCTGCCAACATCATAATGACAGACCAGTGACAACTCGTTTCGTTAAAACTGTTGGCTGAAGGCCATGTCTCCACAGTTACAGCTGTAGAGGTCTTGAGAGTGAAGTCAGTACCAATCTGTTACAGGGCGTCCTTGAGGCGGTGACGAGCCAGTTTCCCTCTAAAATGTATGAGTCGAATGAGGGCAAGGGAGATGGACGCTAAGACACCGCGCTGACAGCGCAGAGGACATGGACTGTGTTTTACAATTTGACGGAGTTTCTCTATTGATCCAGGGGTGTTGGGGAGATAAGCTTAGCTCCCACGATGCATTGGGGTCAGGGCGCGTGCGAGGCCGCTGTTTGCTTTGTAGAATCTGAAGCAGCCTAATTTGTCAGCAGTTAGTTTAAACATGTAGGGAACATTATCAGGAGAATCCCTCTTCAAGTCCGTCCTCTGAGGATATGTTCCCCTTTTAAAACACCTTGAAGACCTGCTTCACCCGCACAATTTAGTCTTTGCACGCGTCTGGTTCACTGAGCCCACAGCACACAATACCTTTCTTTCTTTCAGCACCTGTTTATACGTCTAATTCAGACCCCACGCCTGCAAGGTAGGACAACAGTTTTTTAAAATCAAGTTTGCTTCCAAAAAATTCTGCCCATCACTCATTTTGTTGCCACTCCTTAAACAAGGCAGACATTCTCAGAGTCCCAGCCCTGTCCTCCATTAGTCCAGCCGGAGGTAGCTGGGTGTGGAGTAATTAAACATGAGGAAGTCCAACTTGTAAAGCTGGGAGAGTTGGATCTGCTGCTGAGTGCTGATATTGCTGAAGAACTGGGCGTCATGGCATCGGTAGTACGAGTGGACTTGGCGTAGCTCGGGAAGCGCAGGGAGTCTCCAACACCCACCAGCCGCAATAAGTAGTTTGCGTCTTCTTCCAGTGACTCATACTTGCCCACCAGGTCGTAATGGATGTGACATGGGTGACAAAGCTGGTACACGGTCTGCCAGTGCTCGTTGAGTGGGCCATCGCGCTGCGTGGCCGGGTCCACCAGGTACTCAGTGAATTCTTTGAATTTAACATCAGCACCGTTGAGCAGGGCTTCATGTGTGGCGTTCTTGCGGTAGCGCCGGATGATGCGGGTGCCGAAGCGCTTGTGGAAGGACGAGTTGTACTTGAGGGTGAACTTGTTGCGGTATGCGGAGACCAGCCTCTCGAAGGGCTCGCGAACAAAGAGGAACTTGAGGTAGTTCTTGAGGCGGTGGTTGATCTCAGCAATACTGTACTGGTTCAGAGTCTTCAGGTTGGAGGGAACGTGGGCTTCACTGGATGGGATTTCCATTGGTCACTGTAGAAGAGAGGCACGTGGACAGTGAGATACAACGGTAAAACAAACAGTATGCATTCCTGTCCTTGTAATATACAGTATTCACAAAAGTGAGTACACCCCTCACATTTCTGTAAATATCTGATTCTATCTTTTCATGTGACAACACTGAAGAAATGACACTTGCTACAATGTAAAGTAGTGAGTGTCCAGCTTGTATAACAGTGTAAATTCGCTGTCCCCTCAAAATAACACATCACACAGCCATTAATGTCTAAACCGCTGGCAACAAAAGTGAGTACACCCCTAACTGAAAATGTCACGGCTTATACAAGCTGTCACTACGCAACTGCAGTCTAAAGGCCTTTTCACACAGGGAGCGATTTACGTGCCTCGTAATTCATTTTCAATGAGAGGCGAGCGTCTGGGAAGGGAGGCACGGGCATAGCAACAAGCGGGCGTGTTCCCGTGAAACTGTCGCGGTTGTGCTCGTCTCACGCACACGCCCGCCCCTGCCAAAGTCGAATTGACTTGAACTTTCTGTAGCCTATGCGACGCGTAGCACAAAAAGAAGATGGATGAGAGACTGATCCTCGCCGTCTGTGACTTCCGTCTGTGAAGTTGCCAGGACATTAACAGGAGGGCGTTTGTATGACTAGATTTATCAGCTATCTGAATATGAATAATATATAATATAGCCTATCAACTAACGTTAGGCTACTTATAGTTTTACTTTAAGCTAGGCTATGAAGGAATACAGTGGCGCACAGAAGCCGTTGCCGTGGCTACTATCTATTGACCGCCTTCCGTTTACTCGCGGATCGCTTGTCTTGGTGTCTGTTCACATGAGAAGCGCAGAGCGACCCCACGGACCAGGCGACTACGCAGGCGGAGTGTCGCTTCCCGTGTGAAAAGGACTTAATGATGGCAGCTTGCAGGGATGTAACTACATCATACAACACATATGATATTTGTCCTATTTGTCACTCAGAGCAATACATTTTCAAAGAGGAACTAATGTACTGTAGTACTCTAAGAACAGTCTGCCAAGTACCTTACCTGTATTTGCCCCGGCCTGTGAGCACCATCATGACGCGTTTCCAGTTGGTACAGGCCACCTTGGGGACATAGCAGTAGATGAGCTCGTGGTCCTCGTCCACCACAAGGTGTTTGAGGTCTCCGGGTGTCAGGACTCTGCGCTTACGGCTGGACGCACTGTAGACTCGACAGGCATCCACAACCTGATCCCTCCTGGCTTGGTGGAGGACGGCTGCTCCGGACAGCTCCGACTGGTCAGGGAAAGACAGAGGAGGGAGTGGGAGAGAGACAAAGGGCTTGGCAAAGGGCTTTCAGGAGGTAACTATCTTGATATGAATATTTAGAGACAGTCAGCTCTTGAGCACCTGTAATTTTAAACATTTAAATGAGTGATGTTAATGAATATTGAGCAATGCTTTTTAAGATACACGAGCAGTAGAAATAATTGCCACAGTATTATGCAATACAATGCCAATATATTACTCGATACGTTTCACAGTACATAAAAAATGTGTCATGATACATCTTAGATCTCCATACATGGAAAATATATTTCTGCAGTTTATTTTTTTCCTCTAGATTGGTTGTTGTTTATTAACACATTATTTTCACAAATCAGAGATTTGGGAGAAGATTACTTCCTTTCTCTATAGTCTCTCGTTGTCTTTACACCTTTTTCTGTATGTTCTTACTGTTTTTGTAATTTTCCTTGGCAGTGAAAGGAAAAGCTTACTGCGCCAATAAAGCACTCTAAAATGAATGAAACTGAACCAAAGCAGAAAGAGGGAGAGAGAAGAGGAGAAGTCGACGGGAAGACAGGCAGAAAGATAGCGAGAGAGAGTGTTATTAATCTCTTTCTTTATTATCGTACTCATCTCTTTATTGACTCTATCTTTTTGCACTATCTGAGTCGCTCCACAGACTATGATAGAGATTAGTCCATGGGTGTGGAGGAAAATAATTATATTGGGAGGATATTACAGATATTGAGTGTTCAATATGCGCAGATCCAGTCAGCAATCATTCATCTGAGGCGTATTTCATATTCACCATGATGCTTGTGATGAAGTGGTCCATGGCAGGAGGGAAAGGAGGAGGCTGCGGAGGAATTAAAAGAGTTTGAGGCAGAGAGAAGCCTGAGGGCTTTACATCTGACGGATAGAAATGTTTTCTTGTTATTCTGAGTCTAAATTCCCCTCCAGGGCAGAGCCCCTGGTTTCCCCACGGAATCTAAATTAATTGTACTGTGGCGACATCTTTACCGCTCCGTCCCACTCACAACAAGTGTGGCCTTTCAGCGCTACACTGAGGCTGAGAGAAGTCCTGAAATAACTCAGGGACCCCCACCAAGCACCATACATGAAGGTCTGTAAGTATTTCTCTTTGAAGTCACTCTTCAACCATGTCTCCAAGTGGGTAATTCATCATGTGCACAGCCTGATACAAGAACATGCGAGAAAACCAATCTTTAAAACCTTTTCATCCAGTGACAACATACAAAAGCAGTCTTGAGAAACGGTCAAACACATGACCTTAGAATCAAAGATATTTCAGAATGATGTCTCTAAAAGTTATGTTTCACAGTTTGTTACTTTCTCAGTCATCTCCATTGGATATTCATGTTGGGATACAGGTCAAAGGGCGATGCTTCCCGTCTTTATTTCCTTAAAAAGTCAATAAGGTGAAGAGGCAGGGTGAAGAGTTTTTCCCAGTGTGAATTCATATTTTAACAATTATCAAACACAGAAACACTCGTATTGAGTATTGCTATAAATTTAGAATGATGGACTTTTCCCCTATTTATAGTGAGCATGGCTATGGAAAGGCTCCCAGCCAGTATCAGAGTTCAAAGCATATTCAAAGCACTTTATTGCTATATTAGGAACTCTATACTGCATACTTGGTGAAGTGAAAAAAAAAAGGATAAATACAAAAAGTGAAATGATTCAGATTGCTAAATGTATCCAACTGGCTGGATTGGTTTAACTCCTTTAACTTTTGTTTCTACTTGTTCTTTTTGTTAAGTCAGTCACAAGTTTCATGCAGGAGAGGAGTCAAGCAGGAGAAGAGCGAGAGGGAGGTCAGAGAGGCAGCGACAGCGTGTAGAGCCAGAATATCTTCACATCTAACTCTGTGAATTAAGCTAATTTGTTACCATGTTAACTTCAGTAGATCTTTCTGCATGTTACATAGACGTCTTTGACATGACTACAGAAGTGTTCTTCTGAATGTTTTAAACTAGAATCCTGGCCACATCCTACATATTGTACCTTTAAAGCATTTTGAGGGAGGTGTAAATTTACAAGGGACGATGGATTATAAACATCTCTGCTCAAGAAGAAGCCCTCATTTTGCAAACTTCCCACTTCTCCCTTTGTGTGCTCTCCACACTTCCTTAGTCAAGCTTATGCTGAACCATCAAAGCCCACTAAGGCGTAACAGCGCGTAGCAAACAGCAGCTCTTTGTTGATGAAAATCTTTTCCTTTTCTATCTGCTCAGAGACACAAGCTATGATTCACACAAATGTCGCAGCGAGCATGCGGCCCTCCATCCCAGTGGAGGACAAACGCTGTAATTAACATGGGATGAAAAGACACAAGGAGGGAATCTTGTCATCTCCTGCCTCAGTGTCGCTCTTCTTATCTCTCTTCTTTCTACAGGATTACTTTCTGCTATTTTATCTCCTCTTCAAGCAGCTCAATCAAGTCTCTTGTGCAGTTGAGAGGGAGAGAGGTGGAGGGTATGAGAGAGGCGATAAGTCGATACAGTCTGAGAGGAAGGCGTGATGGAGATCACTGACCTCTGACCATGTCAAGCTCTTCCCATGGGAGGGCAGAAAGCATTACTTGCATATTTGCTTGCAAATTACCACTTTAATCCCTTGTGGACATGAACTAGTGGGTCAGCGTGGGATAAGAGCTAGTAAAAGTCGTAAAACGACAGCTATGAAAGTAGGTAGCAGCTTTACATGATACGGTCAATTTAGCTTGATCTCTTCAGATTGGTTAGGATCCCAGAAGGACCTCAAACCTTCAACTCAGCAGTTTCCCTGTGCAGCTGCAGCTATAAGATGAATTACTTATAATTTCTGCCAATTGCGTCCATTCTCTCTGAAAAATGTCCATCAAATCTGTGAGAAAATCCAAAGGGAAGGACATGGACAGAAAATCCATTCAGCATACATTTAAACCTAATCTCACCATGAAAGTCATTATCAGCTTTGTATATGCAAATAGAAAAAAACTCTATTTCCTTATCTTCAGATGAGGAGTTCAGAACGAGCCCATTGTACATTCACAACAACGCACTTTTCTTGTCGCTGCGCATTTGTTGTTAAAATGTGTGAGAAACTGATGACAGGGGATCGTGGAGATTGTATTTCAAAATTTCAAGTCTTCATTTCCTCATCACAGCTGGATCATTCCCACTGACAATTGTTATGAGTTTGAAATATGATCCGAGAATCAGCACAGAGTCTTCTATATGGTGGTAATGAAAAGCTTCCTCCTACTCTGCTGATGGTTGCAAAGAAAGACTGAGCAAGGAAGGAAGATAGGAAGGGATTACTGATGGAAGAAAGTAAGAAAGTAAGTGACTAACAGAACAAAGAGGGAAACTACCCTGGCACCCCGCAAACCCAAAGACCTCAAAAGCCCTATGTTCATTCATTTTAAAATGATTTTTTGCCATTTAATTTATTGATTTGTTATGTCCATTGTTAGCTACTGTGATGCTTCTTTAAATGCTTATTATTTTGACACACTTTATACCGAATAAAGTTGTGTTTGATCAAAATTACGACAATCTGAAAACCCAGGGCCGTGTAGGATTATTCCAGTATACGATACTGGTTTGTTTCTGGCTCTCTGGTCAAATAATGGCGGTGTTATGTACACTGTTGTGACCTCTGAGACTCACTTGTGTGACCTAAACTGAACCTTATTATGAAACTGAGCCACTGAACTCAGTCTTCCAC